TTTCGGCGGACACAACATCTTTATTTGTATGTGGTGCTGAGGATCGAACCCGGGTTGCACGCATGCCAGGCGAGCGTGCTACCACTTGAGCCACATTTACAGTCCCTATTTATTGATTCTTGTTTTTAATTCTTGCACTATAGGAATTTTATTAAGAAAGTTGGGGCCTAATTCCACATGATGAATATCAGGGCCTATTTATGGCAAATGATTTTTCTGACATAAGGTGACAGACTCAGAGTGGGGTAAGGAGAAGGAGCATGGGAGGAATACTCTAGATTGGGCAGAGGGGAGGGAGGGGAAGGGAGGGGGAAGGGGGTTAGTAATGATGGTGGAATGTGATGGACATCATTATTACAGGGCCTTTAGACAGCACTTATTGCAGGATAAAATGGCTCCCATGATAAAATTCAAACTAAGTAAACAAGTGATAAAATAAGGTACTAGGAAAAAAAAAGAAATGAATGAATGAATGTACACACTCCTCAGCCAACACACATATACATAGCATGTATATTTGTGTGTTCAAGAAATAAATCTATCTATTGTTCTCTAGAGAACAAAATCTACTTTTTGTGTCATGAATAAGAAGAGATAGAGACACATTTGTGTTCCAGTCCAAAAGGAGGATGTATCAGGCCCACAGCAACCTACGAAGGAAAATGGTCCTTCTGTGTGGCTAAAGAACTTGGAGAATTGGCACTAAAAAGAAAAGAAGTGTGTGTTTAGCACATGGCAGCAAATAGATTCTTTTGGGACAGATAGATGAGCAGTTTTCAGGTAAGGTCCAGGTGTTGGTTGCTTCCTATATAAATAAATGAGGTACTATGATATTTATCCTAAATCCATTCTCAGTTTCAATTTCCTTCTTAAACCTCTCTATTTGAATTCTCCAGTACCTTAAATATCTTGACATGACAGCTTTTTTCATGGCTAAGTTTAAACCTCCACAGTGATAAATGCTATTGACAGTGTTAAATGTGTTAAAAATTACTAAAAACAATATACTATTGAAGATGCTCATGTGCTATGTCCTTATGTCTTGACAGAACCTGGGGAGAGTAAGTGATTTGTTAGAGGTTAGAGATATGGTGGCATTCAGAACTTTCTACTGTGACCTCATTTTGTTTCTCAGCAACAGCTTGTCTCCCTTTAGCTCCTCCCCTTTCAGGCTTTTACCCCATTCCATCCCCCAACCTCTGCCATTGAGGATATACCCTGTGCCTTTCTCCTTGGTGCTTCATCTGTAACCTTATTTCACAGATGTGGCTTCCAGTTTACAAACTGGGTTCATTTATAAAAACACTTCAGTCATGCCCCAGGAGGGCTTATAGGGAGTTGGTCTTCACAAAACTACTCTTTCTATACCTGCACCAGCTCCTGGAAGATCCTCAATTCTCCACATTTCAGTTTTTAGTAAACTAGGGTGATTTAAGCTTGTGGAAATGGCCTCTCACACTTCCAATAATTACTAGAACTTTTGGACTCAAATTTATACAGATAAACAAAAGAGGCAGGATGGCCAAGTTGATTTCCAACATCTTTCATTAAGATCACACCTTTGTTTTTTCCACTAAGACCAAGATTTCCTCCTCCACATGCCTATAGAAGAGACTTTTCTGCATCTAACCAGCTCTCCAGGGCTTTGCTCATGAGCCTTGTTTCTGTATCCACCTCTCTCCTCATCTATCACTCTACAATCCTACTATTCTCTTTATGGCACAGAACTGTGTCATCTGAGTAGATATGAATGTACCCATCAATGTGTTATTTGGCCAGG